TGGTATTCGACTTCGACAGCAAATGTATGGAGAAACCTAACGCTAATAAACTTGCTAAGAATAAGAGTGCAAAAGTTGCAGGATAGGAGGTACAAAGCACATCCATCCATGTGTCTATCCATCTTCCAATCACTTATCTCATAGAGGGTTATGTGGTGGCCTGGAGCACTCCAGTAATTCCCCAAAACACTGGATGCACAATGGAGTCTTTTGGAGTATTTTGATGATTTTTTTTTGTATGAAATTCAAACTCTCAGTTATTAAGTAGTGTAAGTATTGTTTAACAAATATTTTTTCACCCATAAGGCCAAGAAAAAAGTATCATAACAATCACGTAAATGACCTAACTTGCAGAAAATAACCCAGATTATGAACAGAGCTCTAAAACTATCTTCTAGCTACTAAAAACGCCTTCATTGGCAAATATGGACACAACATTCAACCCTTGATGGCTACATCACCAGGATCTTAATGATGTCAGAAAAACCACTTCCTGGTCCTTCATCTGAGATACCAACCTTATTCATTAAACCAGTAATGGTGAGGTCAACCAGTGCATTCCAGCTGTTGGTAATTTTTTCTAGTCACCATCTCCAGGATTTGGAAAGTGGTTGTGAAAACCCTGTATATTTTTGGAATATTGAGCTGGGATCCCATCCAGGGTGTCCCCTGCCTTGTACTCCATACTTCCTGGTGGGGGCTCCAAGCCCTGAAACAATGCCCTAGATACGCTGTTAGAAGATGGAATAATAGATGGTTGTCATTGTCAGAGAAGAGGATATTCCAATTGTTCTTTTGAATGTTGCCTCTGCTTCAATGTCACAGCAGTATCGTCTGTTGCTGTTTGTACAGCGATTGCATGAACACAAAGCTTGACTTTAGGAAAAACTTCTGGATTTAGCCGGTGGTTTTAACCACAGAGTTTAACTGGGTCACCATTGTTCCGCCATTGCTCAGGGGCTGTTTCACAGGACCTGTATGCCTTTCAGGCAAATCATAGCTGAACTCATACCGCACTATAAATCGCCACTCTCTATGTGGTCTGCTTTGATGGTGGCTTCAATGCAAAGCAGCTGCCACAGAACGAGTTCCAATGAGTTCCACTGCAGCGTCACCCTCCATTCTGGAAAAAAATGTTAAAAAATGTAATGATTTCCAGTAGTCTCCTCCCCCTTCCCCCCATCCTGGTGCTCACAATTGGCCTCAAGGTTGATTTAAATTTATATTGTATTCAGTGGATGTTCATGATCCTAGGGAAGAAAATGCAGTAATTACAGGGCGCATAGGATACTCTCACAATGAGAAAGACACCACTAAGGCTGCAGAAACAGCAGGAAGCAATGGACAGAAGACATAAACAGCAAAATGTCTTTAATTTTGTGTGGATTTTACCAACATTAAGAGTAAGCTGTAATTGTCAACTAAAAAGGAATCCTCTCATTGGCTCTGGTGGCTGGGTGAGGGGGGGTTACTGTAAACTATAGTTCTTCATTAGGTAACAGAATTGCGCCCCTTCTTACTAATCCTCAGGTCTGAAACACAAACGTTAACCTTTTGAACCTCATGCTGGGTTTCTGTTCCAGATATAGGAGGCACTGTGCTACTTCAGCAGGTTTTACCTCCGATTCATGAATTTAGTTTAAGTCCTTTCAACTATGGTGTTTTGTGAGGAATTTACATTTATTTGGGGGGGGGCTACCTTAAATGAAGGAGGTACCTTAAATTAAGCGCTGTATATAGGACAGCATGAAACAAAGGTCTTTGAGCCTATTTCAGTCTGTTTTCACACAGTGACAAATATATGCGACAAAAGCTTTGCTGAACAAATGCACTTATTAGGGGGCAGTTTATGCAAATTATTTTGCTGTTATTTTTAAACCCATTTTAATTTTTATTACAAAAATGAATTCATAATGTGATATTTAGCATGTTGCCTCACACCTCTGGGCCCATGGCTCTATGTACGGGGAGTTTGCATGTTCTCCCCATATTGTTGTGGGGTTTCCTCTGGGGGCTCCAGTTTCCCCCCATGGTCCAAAAACATGCTGAAGCTAACTGGACTCAACAAATTACCCATAGGTGTCCATACATGAGGGAATGGTGTGTGAGTTAATGGTGTGTGAGCGTATGGTGTGTGAGTGTATGGTGTGTGAGTGAAAGGTGTGTGAGTTAATGGTGTGTGAGCATATGGTGTGTGAGTGAATGGTGTGTGAGGGAATGGTGTTTGAGTGTATGGTGTGTGAGTGAAAGGTGTGTGAGTTAATGGTGTGTGAGCGTATGGTGTGTGAGTGAATGGTGTGTGAGTGTATGGTGTGTGAGTGAAAGGTGTGTGAGTTAATGGTGTGTGAGCGTATGGTGTGTGAGTGTATGGTGTGTGACTGTGCCCTGCGATGGGTTGGTACCCCACCCTGGTTTGTTCCCTGCCTTGTGCCTATAGCCCCCAGGATATGCTCAGCCCCCAACTGCCCTGCATAGGACAAGTAGTTATAGAAAATGGATGGATAAAATGTACTTATTAACAATATTACAATTTGTAGCCTGTGCAGAATTCATTCAGAAGTGAGTGCTTTCTAAGGGGGCATGTTACAAACTTAAAACTAACTAAACGTAACTAAAACTGTATATATTTAACAGCATATTCAGGAGTACTTTCCTTTCAGAAGTTGTTCAGAGAGTTATAGGTGTGGTTCAGTGCAAAGTTAATACTGTTAGTAAAGAATGCATAGATGTGACAGTGGAGTAAAGTGTCACAGAGGTTAAGTGTCGGGGACCCTTGCCCTGAACGCTAACTGCTCTCCCTCCCCTTCCTTCCTAAGTTCAGCCCTTTGTCTCCTCATCCGCCAACACGCTTCGTTTGCTTGGCGGGACGCAGTGCCCGAGGCGGGCTCCGAGCTAGCGAGCAGGCCGGGGCTCTTTTCTCGTTCCCCAGCTGCCGTCACTTCACAGGGCTGCCGATTGCGTGATAGGCGCCTTTGGCTGGCACACTCTGTCATTTCCCAGGATTGTTTTCCATGCAGGGAAACCAGTGGTTTCTCAAGATCTGCTCCAGACTGAGATGTATGCTGTCGTTAAAGACAGACAACCAGTCCTTACATTTGGATCCAGGAGCAAAAAATTAAAATGCATCATCACAGTGACCCATCATCACAGTGACCCATCATCACAGTGACCCATCATCACAGTGACCCATCATCACAGTGTCCTTTTACATAAAAATTGATATTTTTCTGCATATAACACCTTTAATTACCTGTAGCATTCATTTAATGCGAAGCAGTGTCCTATTTTAAGTATTGTAATGATTTCTGTTTTCATTTATCTTCTGTTATTTAAAATACTTTTTTGACTATTTAAAATATTTTATGAGTAACAGTTTTAAGAAAATTAAAAATGCATTTGAATGTTAGAATGGCATTAGAATTAGATTTAAAATGCATTTTTAGAATAATTATACTGAGCTGGTAGTCAAACACCAGATGATCCTGACCAGGATAAGTGTTCAGAGGGTGTATGGATGCACAGACATCCTTACATCCAATACTATGTACCCTTGCAGAGAACTTGCAGTTCCCCTTATAGATCTGTGCGTGATTAAATAGAAGGATACCGTGTCTTATTCTAGAAGTGTGAGATACATAATTCGGTATCATACGAATCAAACGTCGCCGTGGAAACCCATTACGGCAGAGAGAGCAGCATTGATTCTTGCCTGCCTTTCTGGCATTGCCTGTAAGGAGAAACAGCGGGAAAGCGATGCTGATTAAAAGCAGAACAGACCATGCAGAAGCCCTCCCACGGCATTTAGAAAATATGCTGGTGACAATTTTTGATATTGAAGTTGAGCTTTGACACATCCTTGGCAAAATCAGAGTATTTTTTTTTCCTATTTGCAAGACAGTTCCTCCCAAATCTTTCTAATTCAACATATTACTAACATAATTTTTTTATTTGAAAACTGTATGTTTTAACCTTGTATGGGTATGATGCATATGTTATATTGTATGGGTATTATGCATTATGTTATATTCTCAGCATTTGTTTTCATACATTTTTATAACATGAATATGACAAATGATTGCCTTTTAATTAGATGCTGTATTCTACTTTCAGTTTATCTGGATTTATTATTATGAGCTCTAGCAAAACTTTTTAACCCAAAGAATGTGACTTTGACAAAAGGACTCATAAAATGTTCATGTAAAGCATTTTTGATTTGGTCCCCATATATTCTGCAGGGTGTCAAATGTAACAGACATCACCGTTATATTCTTTTGAGAATTGTGCTTCCATAGCAACAACAACGATCCATAACTATGCATATTTAAGTCACAACAGGATAGCTGAAAACTTCCATGTGATTACTGAGGAAAGCTGTAATTCAGCATCCTACTGGGGTGGGATAAAGAAAACCATTCACGTTAAAGGTCTTCAGGAATATCCTGTCCCTATAAACTATGAATTGATATTGTCGTCCCTGATTGACATCTGAGGGTCGCACTTAAAGAACAATTGCAGTTTGGGATCTCATGGCTCTGTTGGACAATCGCGTACATGATCATAAATACCTGTGTGCCAAACAGCAACCCAGTGGTCCACTAGAAACTCATATTTCCTCATTGCAGGCAGTCTTACTAAGTCTTACTTGTCATTCAGGTGACAAGACCTCATCGATGGGTTTCTTTCTGTCAGACACAGAGGACATTTATTTCTTAAGCTCTGCCGCATTGCATAAACACAGATGTGTCTGATTTGCCGTTTTTTATTGTCAAACTGTGATATTACATCACATCTTCAGCAAGTGCAAAATCATTGGGAGGGGTCTCAAAGATGGTGGCTTTGAACAGCAAATGTGGTCCTCAATACCATGACTTTACTAACATTTTGCACCTGTGATTTATTCTGTTAAAGAAACCCTTGGCTTTTTATTTAATTTAGAAAGGGCATTACGATCGTAACATCAATTTTAACTGTAATCCAATGACATATTCTCATTCTTGTAGCCGTGTGATCAAAACCAACCAAGACCTACTTCCAGAAACACCTTGGACGAACATCTTCTACGATGACTTCTGGGGGACCCTCCTCACCCACAGTGGGAGCCACAAGTCGTACCGACCCCTCTGCACCCTGTCCTTCCGCCTGAATCATGTCCTGGGAGGTTTGGATCCCTGGGGCTACCATTTGGTTAATGTGGTGCTCCACAGCCTGGTCACAGGCCTCTTTGTCAGCCTCTCCCGGCTGCTGCTGGGAGGTGGGCGCTGGACGCTGGTGGCCGGCCTCCTCTTCGCCTTGCACCCGGTCCACACAGAAGCGGTTGCTGGGGTGGTTGGCCGGGCCGACGTGGGCGCTGCACTCTTCTTTCTACTGTCACTGCTGTCTTACGTGAAGCACTGCGCGCTACGGCTGAAGGAATCCCACCGTTCTGCCGCTTCCTGGGCCTTTTTGGTGCTGAGCCTGGCCAGTGCTGCCTGCAGCATGCTTTGGAAGGAGCAGGGTGTCACCGTGTTGGCCGTGTCGGCCGTCTACGACATCTTCGTTTTCCACAGACTCCGGATCCGTCAAGCCATCGTCCTGCTTTACAAGGTGAGCATTGTCTGCCAAATGCACTAAAGGTTCAGTTATGTTGCATCAGGGGTGGCCTACGTCTTTCACAATATAGTACATTTGTGCAGGGTAACGTAAATAAGCAAAAATTGTATTGTTTTTCTGCCTCTATGTTATACATGGAGTAAGACTTAAACTGTGCTTTGCAAATAAAAATAACCACAGGTGAACATCTGCTGGACTTTAACAAGATATTTCTTCTTTTTTAGGTTATGTTAACCGCAATTAGAAGTCTAATGACATCCAGTTTAAGACTGCTGACTGACAAAGGCATGCTGTAACTAGTTTCTTGTATGGTGCAATCAGAATTTTATAAGCTAATTTTTTGTGTGGTTAGGATAAACATGCTCATTTTAGTTTGCAAATTCCAAGGCTATGTATAATTAGTGCACACAGTGTTGGCAAGCCTATTGCCGCTGCGGGCCGAAAGCCTGGATGTTTTCTCCTCACAAATCTGCAGTAAAAGCCATATTCCCAAGGGTCTGCTTCTCCGTAACAACGGTTACATTGTTTGTTTGTCTAATTAAGGAAGCACACCAGGGAAAATTGACAAATCTGTGCTGATTATCCCCGAGCATTAAAAAAATTAAATGTCAGCTGTTTATGGACCCAGACAGAAAACAGGATATTCTGGAATCAACCAGGACTGTTTCTAGCTATTGAAAAATATCAGAGACTACGTCAAATTTACCTGGCATCAGGGGTAAAATACTCGGGCTAGACTTGTATGGAGTAAGGCCCATGTAGTCAACTTTACTTGATGGTACCTAATAATTATAATATAGGATTCAATGTAGTTTAACAAAAAACACTGAAAATCTGAAAATATTGATAGTCTTTGCAAAGCCATAACTACAGTAATTAGAATACTGAAATGGCAATTGAAAGCAATATCTCACCTTTCTGGAGATGAATTTCAGAAGCAGTAGTTGGGATGGATCTGGGAGTTTTGCTGCTGCTGGTTTAGAAATTAAAAAGTGGATTTGGTAGTTATGAAAACCATTTGGGTAAACAAGAAAAAAATGAAATCAGTAAGTCCAATCACTTAGTCCTCTCCTAGTGAAGAGCAGCTCACATTGATAGCAGTGGTAGGACAATGTGACATTAATAGGGTGAAGTGTTTGGTCTTTGGTCTTTGTCTGTATTTTTTTAAGAGTTTTTTAATTTTTTTTATTTATCACAGCAATATTTTCTGTTTGCAAAATTGACAATTTAATGGACTCAATGATTCCCCTTTTCTGTTCTTCAGAAGAGAATTACAAATGTCAAAAGGTGCAGAGATTAAACAGACCAGCTGCCCACGATGCTGTCAGGTTGTGTTTAAGATACATGAGATTTAATTTTAAAAATGGCAGTCAGGATGGTCTTAGTCAAGCAAATCACTAGGTCAGTCTGTAAAAGGTATAATTCCCAGAGGGGGCTACAAGGTCAGGTACACATCATGCCATTCATCCACCTCTTAGTTACTCAACTTAATTATCTCTCCAGCACTTTCTCACCCCAAGTGTCCTGAGGAACTGCATTCTGGGAAGAGAAAAGGTCTTCTGTAATTGGTCCATTTAAAGCAGGGTTATTCAAAATCACAGTCCTCGAGGTCTGAGCACTGCTGGTTTTCCAGCCTTCCTTTACCTGTGATCCAGGTGTGAAACCTCTGACCAATCAGAATCTGTAATTATTAAACTAACAGAAAACAAGGCCTGGATTTGGAATTGAAGTACCCTGATTTAAAGTATTGCATACCTGCCTCTTAATGATGAATTTGTTTCAGCGATTTGAGTTAGAAGTAATAATAACTGAAGGTGTCCGCTGCCTCATGGATTAGGTTACATTCAACCGCTTACTCTAAGGTGACACGCTGGTTTACAGGCAGAGTCTGCACTCTTTAGCATTCCACAGAATGGAACGTGGTCCCGCCATCGCCTGGCAGCATCCATAGCGGGATGATTTATTCATGTAGTGTTGCTGATAAGATGACAGTTACAGGGGCCATATAGGTTTGTTTGGAGCGTGGAGTCCATACAGGTTTGTTTACTTCCCAGTTTTTAAAGATAGAGATGGAAATCTATCTGTCAAGGACCCCTGGTGTTATTCTGGATTCTGTTTGCTAGAGTTTAGCAATGAAAACCGGGGAGGCCGAAAAATGGTCCCTGCAAGTAACAGGTGTTTTATCACATTCTGGGGAAATTTAGTCCCAGTAATGTAATGTGTACATGACCCACACACTCACACACACACGCTAACACACAAGTACCACCACAGACCCATCCCAACGTCCTCAGTCAGAATCGCATTAACACTTAAGCATGAATTTTCCACCCCCACCGCCTGTACTCTTGCTGTACTCTTCTGCTACTCTGCCAATGCATTCCTGCTAATCTCCCTTTGATCTCAGCCTGGGTTCAAGTGAGTAACTTAGTGATTTGATGCAGTAATATGGCAGGATGGCAAAGCACCAGTACCCGACACAGAGTCTTCCAACAGCTGCTTCTACACCTTCATGAGAAGTTCGTACAGAAGGAGAGTAACATCCAGAAATGCCACATTCACAATGCATTGGAAACAGGAGCCCGCTGATGAACAGAATATCAACAGTAATAGGTATTTTTTTATCAAACATGAATCTAGGAGACACTGTTATCCAAAGCAAAAAGCATTTGTTAAGTAAACAGGGTTAAACACTCCCTTGAAGTATCAAGGGTAACAGGAATTGTTCAAGGGCCAAACAGTGAAATTACATGGCCGACCCTGGGATTCAAATCAGCAACCTTTGGATCCCACAGATCCCAAGCCCCAAGAGCCAGCTCCATGAACTGACGCTCACTGACACTTGCCTACATAACCCATTCAACCCAAATAAACATAGATGTCTTCATTTGTGCATTTAATTATAGAACCTCTTTTAAAAAACGGCACCTTTTCCAAGCAAAGTCTTGAGTGAACAGAGTCTCACAAGTGGCAGCCAGGGGTCTGCAATCTTCCTCTCCTTTCTCACTCCTTTCTCACTCCTCTAATTGCCAACAAATTGTATCTTTGCCGTTTAAAATGATTTGTTCTTAGCTATTGAATCATGCTTTCTTTTTATTTTATTTTCTTATGCTGTGCAAGAGCTTCAGCATCCAACGACATTGACCATTTGTTCCTGTGAATTTCACCCATTATCCTCGCTAATCTGATTATGTGTTCATGGTGAGCGTTGACAGCATGACTGATCTGGGGTCAGCAGCTACTAGATCCGCACAGACTGCATTCTTTGCCTGTCTCTTACTCCCCATTACTCCCTGTGATACATAGTATTAACCTTCATACCAAGACAGATCTCCTTCTTAAATGAGCTGGTCATGTGACATGTTGGCTAATCAGTCATTCGTCCTGCAGATTACGTTTCAGTATTCTTTCAAGATAGGACTTCTCTTCCAGTTTAAGTTGCTGACCTTTCTCCTACCTGGACAGTAATCCTCTTTCCAGTAGAAGCTGACCCGCATTCAGGTCGATTGTGCTTCTCAGTGATTAATTAACCACAGGCCAGTGGTGTCAGTAGTGTCAGACTCCAGTGTTTCTTTCAGTCAGTGATCCTGCAGTCACTGGGTAACTATAATAAAACTTAAGGCTTCTGCTGAATATCCTATTTAAAATGCCCGTCAAGGGACACAGTGTAGAAATGTATCATCTATACATTTCACAAATAACTGAACCTGCTAGGCAGCTGAATTGGTTTATTCGTGTTTATGTTAAGATTTTGTTAAGATTCCTAATTACATATGATGGATTTTCTTTTCTCTGGAGGCCAGTTTCCATACAGCCAGTTCTGTAGGATGGTTTGGATGCTGCATCTGCCGTGAGAATTCCCTCTAAAATTGAAGGCTTTTCCCTTTCTGCTTTGAATCATTCTATAGTAGAACAATCTATATTAAGAATAAGTAAGCTTTTGGAATACAGCTACCTCACCTTTAAGAGATTCAAAGGCAGATGTATTTGACGGCTGTACCCGTCTCGTAAGATTAACGTGCCGCGGAGTGACTGACGCATTACAGTGAAAAGGATGTCGCTTACAGTGTGGCTCTCCTGCTAACCGTTCATATGTACTGTATGTCCCCCCCCAACAGGTCTGCAGTGAATGAATGAAAGGATAAAAGGCCAAAGGGACATCTGTTCTCTTATTGTTTCACTATAGAGACTTTAAATAATGAATATGTTAGATTTTTAACTCGTATAAACGTGTCACATTCACATCTCTTTATATTGCACACTATAGTGAATAAAACCATAATGCTGCTTTGCATTTAATGCTTTGTGTCTTCACAGTGTTTTCCTTATTCTGCTGGTTTTGGTTCTTCTCTATGTTTACGGGGGTTTCTACGTCAGTCTAATGTCGTGTTTACTTTCCCCTACAGAGGAGGAACGTCGGCCTGCTCCTCAGTGTGAGTTTGCTGGCCACCTGGGGCGCCGTTCTGCTGGCGGCTCGTCTCTACTGGATGGGCATGAAGCCGCCCAGCTTCTCCAGCTCTGACAACCCGGCAGCCGACTCGCCCAGCCTTCTGACCAGGATGCTCACCTTCTTCTACCTGCCCGCTGTCAACATGTGGATGCTCATGTGCCCGAACACTCTGAGCTTTGATTGGTCCATGGATGCGGTGCCCCTGCTGAGGACCATCACCGATTGGAGGAACGTTCACTCTGTGGTCTTTTATGCTGGATTATTGCTATTAGCCCGGTTCGGCCTTCAGAACCCGGCCAGAGTCCGAGAGACCGACGGGAGAGCCCGTGTCACCAATGGGAAGCCCTTCACCAATGGCAACAGCCAACATATGCATCTGAAGCACACAGACGCGGAAATACCAAATAATGTTCAGAATGGTACAAAATTGCCCTGCAAGCCACGGACTACACTGCCCACCACGGAAAATGTTGTGGTTCTCTCCTTGAGCCTGTTGTCCATTCCCTTCCTTCCGGCCGCCAACTTGTTCTTCTACGTGGGCTTCGTGGTCGCCGAGCGGGTCCTCTACATCCCCAGCATGGGCTTCTGCCTGCTGGTGGCGGTGGGCATGAGGTCCCTCCATATCCGGCTGCAGAGGCACCCTTCCCGCGCCCTCCTGCTCTGCTGCAGCACCGTGCTCTTCCTCTTGCACGGAATGAAGACGGTATTAAGGAATCGGGACTGGCAGAGCGAGGAGATGCTGTACCGGTCGGGGATAGCGGTTAACCCTGCTAAAGGTAAACAGACCACTGCTCCAAGTGGGATGACCACTTAATCCGTGTCAGAAGGGACACTATGAGTTTGTAAACTACCATTTCAACCATTTCAATTAAAAGAACCCGGACTTCATTTAAGCCCTGAGTTATTGCTGTATGCTGATCGTTCAGTCTTCTATAATCATGTATGTGTCACTAATGTTAATATAAAACAGCTGGATCAATCTTTCAATAAAGGAAATGAACCAGTCGAAGGACCAGTCCCTCCTGGCATGGATTAGGTGGTCACCTGAGAGTATAGTGACTTTCTGAACTTTATGGGAATAACGTGAGTTTGCTCACGATGTTAGCTACAAGCACTTTTATTTTTTTGTTTCGTGCCCTCTGGCTGACCCTACAGATTTGTGGTGTACATGTGCACAATTCTGTCATTGTAGGCAGCATCAGATGGCTTCCTGCAGCACAAGCATCGTCACGCTGTGTTAACGAATATCACTTTTCATTTGGCTGCTACGGGGGGACGTAGCAGCTGTTTACCCTGGCGGGGCCCTCAGTGTTGCTTCTGGCTCAGCGCTCGCCTGCGCGCAAAGCATCACAGCGCGGCACTTCCTAGATCGGTCTGTGAGGAATTGGCGCTCGTCAGACTTGCGAACACTCAACAGTATGGAAGCATATGGTTCTGGAACAAAGCCATTGCGAGACTTAAGGAAGGCGTGCATTTACTGTAAATACTGTAAGAGGTTGCTCTTCTATCATGACCCTGATAGAGGCCCCTGCTGTCTTACCACTCAAAGGTGCTGATGTGATGCGTAGCCATTGGGAACTACATTCATCTTGCATTACCAGAAGTGTGTAATCTCCTGTTTTCCATCCAGCATGGGGTAACCTTGGGAACGTCCTGAAGAACCAGGGCAGGACTGCAGAGGCAGAGAAGGCCTACCTGAATGCATTGTATTTCCGCAGGAACATGGCTGACATGCTTTACAACCTGTGAGTATCTATGAGCAGATGTATTGTACAGTACTGTGCAAAAGTCAGGCGAAGAAAATATTTCAAGCTATTTATTTGGGTAGTAAATGTATACTTGCTCGGAAAAAAATAATATTTAAATAGACACAAATAAACAGTAATACAATACTACAATACAATAAGAATTATATGAATTAAGAAGAATTTCTTCTGTTCCTGAAAAAGTTACCGATATCTTGGATGGAGAGAAGAAGCTTCAGTTTCCTAACCTCTTCTCAGTGGGAACCATTCCATGTATTTCTTTCACCAATAACAAACTTAACTAACCAGTTAAATAACTTGATGAGGTGTTACCAAACATGGTATGCTAGTCAGTGAACAAGTGCATGGTTACTACAACTGGGATGACTTACAGGAGAGGTTTTGAAACATCTAAGCTAACATGTTTTGACAAACATAATATCTTAGTTTTGCATTAACATGAAGATCGTTTAAACAGTTTTGTCTGACTGCATAAACCTTGGCACAGTACTTTATGTGCATGGTGTAATCTTGTGTATTAACTAATATTAACCAGTCACTTTGAAATAGAGGCTTTTAATGCCAGAACTGCAGGTAAATATGAATGCATTAGCATTTGTGCAAAGTAGCCAGGTTCCTTTTCTTTTTCCCCTGTGAGACCTCTGGCTTCTGATCATTTCACAATTGACCTCAGATGATGTCAATTGATCTCAAAGGATCAGCACTCAAGAAGTTTCATGCTCTGTGGGGCAACCTTGACCATGTGTTTCTCTGAGGTCCTAGTGCCTAATCTTGATCTTCTGCCGTTGATGGACCAATCAATATTCCCTACCCCCTGTGTGAGATCAGATGGCTTTTGAACTATTTCAGAATTTGCATTGCAGAATTTGCATTCTGCATTTATAGGAAATAAAGTGCCTTGTCGTCGTCCCCCCCCCCCCCCCCCCTTTTCCTTGGGTGGTACGACAGAGTCCTTATCTGCTCTTGGTGCTTCGTTAGTAAGCTCCCCCCCCCCCCACCTCATTTTCCAGAGGTCTGCTGCTGCAGGAGAACAGCAGACCCTCGGAGGCCCTGCACTACTACAGGCTGGCCATCATGAGTCGGCCCACACTAGCCTGTGAGTACGACTCTACGGCTAGCAGAAAAAACACAAGCGACCTGCTGTGGACGTGTTGAAAGCCAAGATCCGTTTTTGAAATTTCTTCATAAGCTTGTGACTTTAACTTCAAGTATTACAGTAAATCCCAGCTTAATTGCATTAATTAAAATCGCATGTTTCATTCCCCGAGGAGTCCCAGCCAGCAAACGGAGTCTTGGCTCAGAAGCTCAGATTGCAGCTGGAGTCTGTACATCAGACAGCCCAATTCAAAACAAATGAACTGTTTTTATATTCCGTATCTTACCTCTGACAACAAGTGGGATCAGCCCTCACCGTCTGAGTCATACTAATTACAGAGTATTACTGGGTATTCTCCGAGTACTCTAAATGTTCCAAAGAAATTCATGTAAACCAAAACCTCTGCTCATTTTTTACTCTGATTTTCTTCAGTGAAGTATATGTGAATTTCTCAGGATAATACAATTTTGGTATTGTTACAAATATACATCAAACCAACGGTATTCATCAAGCCAACGCAAAGCTTTTACCGCATGTTGACGCTGGTTTGGGAAATTCTGCAATTTTAAGAACTTTAAGACAAAGTGATGGTAGAGAGATTAAGCCAAGCTGATTGTGGTTTACAGCTAACACAGCTAGTTGAGATTGTCTCTCCTCATTGTCTCAGTCCAGCTTGGAACTAGACAGTTTAGAGCATGTGAGCGGAGTGGAGCGAACGCAGAGCTGGAGCGGAAGGATTTCGGCCGGAGCGGAAAAAAAAAACTCTGTTTGAATGTGGATTTGGCTGATCAGTAAACCAGGTTACAGTTTAAGCTAAAATTAAAATACAGTGCAGATTGTTTTCTGTTGTGGAGCAAGCGGTGAGTGATTTCTTTGGAGCGGGGTGAAAATTGATGAGCGTCAGTGAGCTGGGGAATGGGGGGGCATACCACTCCGTGAGCGATGAGCAGACACTCTCATCGCACCATTTCGCTCACATACTCTGGTCCAGACATTTTATCACAGTGTACAGTATTTTGACGCTATTTTCAAAAACAACACTATTATGGTATTCTGAATTCTCTGGACAATAAAATTCTACTAGTGGGGGAGGTGATGCTGAAAACTCATCAATTAAATAATGCTTAAGAAGTCTTGTAGTATGCTGGACCTCCTCTGGGGTTTGCTGGAGCCAGAACTTGGCTAGTTATCCTTTCACATGCCTGCAGCCGCCTACTTGAACACGGGGATCATCCTGATGAACCAGGAGCGTCTGACCGAGGCCAAGAGGATGTTCCTCACCTGCTCGGACATTCCTGACGAGAACCTGAAGGACCCCCAAGCCCACCGAAGCTCCGTGACCAGCTGCCTCTATAACATGGGCAAGCTTCTCCATGAGCAGGGCCACCAGGAGGTAGACTAAGAAACAGGTCGGAGGTCGCAGGCCGTTAGCTCGCGCTCGCCGTGCCCCGCCTCCGAGTGACAGGCCCATCATGCTTTGCAGGAGGCCCTCGCAGCCTTTAAGGAGGCCATACGGAAGATGCCGGGTCAGTTTGCACCGCAGAGTCTCTACAACATGATAGGTGAGAGTCCTACAGAAGTACTGAAGAACTAACTGAGCTTGGGGAGTTAACAAGCAGCCATCCGTATGAGCCAGTGTTTTCTGTTAATAAAGGCTAATATTTGTTCATTTGCCTCTGGTGATGTCATCACACTGTCATCAGTTTGCTTAATTAATTTCTTTACTGCAGTTTTTAGCCCGGACTGGCATTATGATCTTGGGAATGTGGTTATTCTCTTTCAATGTGATATTTCTCTGTTGTCATAGCGATTATATTACCTATATAAACTGATATAATATCTCCTTAGTCTCCTAAACCCTAACTGGTTTTTATGGCTGCCCTCTTCTCAAGGAGAAACTGAGCCTCCTCAAGAATCAGAATCAGGTTTATTGGCCAAGTATGTTCAGTCACACAGGGTTTTTGTCTCCAGTTGTCAGTGGCTCAGTAGATACATACACAGTTAAGACAATAGTCACGTACTGTTCAATTGATATATACAAAGTGTGCTTGTGCACCTACGGCTGATAAATGTACTGAAAGTGTAAGAGTACATGTCAGTACAAGGAATGTTGGAGTAAATACATACAAATACAATACAAAACAATATAACAAATACAGTGAGTTATTAACCTCAGTGTGGTTTACATTGGGGGGGGGGTGGTTGCAGTGTAACTGAACTGCGGTAACTGGGCCAGCGGTTCAGAGTGATGGGCTGTGGGAAGAAAGTCGGGTTTACGTGTCAGGGTTACCACTGGCACAGCTGGATGGCTGTGAATGGCGACTGAGCTAAGACGCATCCCCGTCCCCACAACAGGAGAGGCCTACCTGAGACTGAACAAGCTGCCCGAGGCTGAACGCTGGTACCGGGAGTCGCTGAGGGCCAAGCCTGACCATGTCCCTGCCCACCTGACTTATGGGAAGCTCCTGGCCCTCACTGTAATGCCCTTACACTACCGTCCTCATCCTCAGATTAGTCTTAATTATCCAAGTTTCCTAATAATGTGGATTTTCTCGAGGAACAAAGCAACAGAATGGATCAGGGAGAATTAAGACCAAAATTCTCAGCAGTTATAAATGTTTTCAGAATATGCCCAATCTTCACGACGAGTCAGCAACAGAATGCTGTATGTTTTAATACTGCCTGGGAAGTAAATCTGGCAGATAGATGAGCCATGAGGAAGTAAAGAGCAGCTTAATCAATCAGAAAAATTTAGAGATCCACTAAGACAAACTGTTTTCTTAAAGACGTGACAGTTCCAAGAATTGTGACTTTGGCCTATTCTTACAAGTACAGCTCTCATCTGTGATACAGTCATTAGAGGTCTAAAAATATACAGCAAATTGGGACAGTAGTGGCACCAGCCTGGTATACAGGATGAAGTACTCTTCATTATTCCAAGCTTCATCCTTTAAACCTACCTTTCTTGACAAAGCAAAATGTGTCAAATGCACAATGACTTTTCAGCATAAGTGAGGCTTCCTCAGATGCTAGCAAACGTAGGCAGTTTTTGAACTAAGAAAATTGATCAAAGCAGCCTTGTATATATAATGATGTGCTTACAGATGAAAGTCATTTAAAATTATCCTGTTTGTTTCCTTCCAGGGGCAAAAGGCAGAAGCTGAAAAGTACTTTCTGAAGGCTATTAAGTTGGACCCTTCAAAAGGGAACTCTTATATGCACTATGGTGAGTACAGAACTTGCTAAATATTCCTCTTAATGTTTGCTCAGAAAACACATGGTTTGCTGCAAGTCTTGAACTTACTGTCCAGTGCTGGGAAATTTTACTGTAAAATCAGGGCAGATGCATTTCCCAGTAACAAGAATAAATGCAAAGATTGTCCCAAAATAACTGCTAGGATAATTGCATCACCGTTAGCCAATGAAAATAACACTAAACATTCAAAACCTGCAGAGCTGTCTTGATTCCCTGCTGCTGTGTTAAAGTTTTTAAAGAGTCATTGTTTCAATTACTTTGGAAAGATAGACAAATGCCCTATTGCTTGGTTTATGATACAATTTTACCCAGCATGTTTACATGTAACAAATAATGCCTTAAGAAATCTCTTCCCCAGCAGTCTGAATGCTACTAATTATGTGTTGCTGCCCTTGGTGGTCCAGAATGATGTGTATGCTAAGTGCAGCATTTCAACCATAATTTTCCAGTGAATGTTTCAGAAAAAAGGTCTCAGCTACAAACTAATCCTCAGCTTGAGAGGACTAAGTAGACTGTAACTGAGCTTGAACTAGCACCTATTAAGCACTACAACATGGTCTCCTGTGTCTGTGACCCCCAGGTCAGTTTTTGTTGGAGGAATCGCGGCTTGCGGAGGCAGCAGAGGTGGCGAGGAAGGCCGTGGAGCTGGAGAAGGGCGAGTTCGATGTGGTCTTCAATGCCGCCCACATGCTCCGGTTGGTGCTATCTTCAGCTGGAGGGCTTTGGGAAGGAACTAGGAATGGCTGTGGCCATGTTGACCTGTTGGTTGACCCTGGGTGCAAAGCAGATTTTAGATGTAGTCCCTTCAGCCAACTGGTTTTCAGGAAATTTTCCATAGAAAGACCCTGGGGTTTGAATAACCCTAAGAAACATTGGAATGAGGCTCAGAAATGGGCCGGCGCCCTAAACTGGGTACAGAAAATGGATAGATGGTTGGAGTGAGACCTTCTTCATTACACCTAATGTATTTAAGGTGTTTGTCCTGCATGCTGATATGGACAATCCCCAGCAGGAGTGGGGAAAATTAGTTTGGGTTGCTGGAAACAAGGGAGGCAAGGCAATGCAGTGGTTAGCTTAAGTACTTCATAGCCCTGGGACTGGGCTTCCAGTCTCTGCCTTTGCTTTTCCAGTCCCCCTGTGTTGTCATGGGGCTTCCTCCTATGGGGCTTCCCCTTCCTTCTGTGGTATCTCCCTCATAGTCTATAAACATGCTACGGTGAATTGCAGTCACCAAATTGCCCATAAATGTCAGTGAATGGTGTGTGAGTGTGCCCTGCGATGAGTTGGCGCCCCATCCTGGGCTGTTCCCTGCCTTGTGCCCATAGCTACCAGGATAGGCTCTAGACACTCCACCCCACCCCCCGACCCTGAATACGACAAGTGATTACAAAAATGGAAGGATGCTTCAAATGTGAGAACCCATGGCTCTAAATAAGAGTCTACAAAGAATCATCTACACATCCCAAAATATAATAGGACAGACATTGACATCTCTGGAGGATATCTCCAGAACACGCTGTCTTCATAGAACCACACTCATCCTGACTGATGCGGTTCATCCCTGTCACTGATTCTTTTCTCTGCTACCATCTGGGCGATGTTACAGAGCTGTGAAGGCTCGTACTTCTAGGCTGAAAAACAGTTTTGTACCGAGAGCCATCACGGAACTGAACTTGCTGAAATTGTGCCCTCCCTCTGCTCAACATCAGCGACTTTGACTTTGATTATTTAATGACTGGGGACTTTGTGTAATAGTGCTGTTGTGGTGTTTTTATTTATTAAGGTTATTTGTGCGAGTGAGTGGGTGCATGTGTGGAAGTGAGAGTATTTTTAGGAATTGGTATTTTTTTTAATATTTAAAATTTTAATTATCCATGATGCACTGCAAATTTCGCTGTACATTGTGCAATGACAATAAAGCTATTACAGTACTTACTTACTTACTTACTTAAACATGTTCGTGTCCATCAGATTCTCATCCATATTGGGCAACACATTGAAAATACAAAAGGTTTGTTGGAGTTTGCCTATAAATGCGCAGGGAAATGTCACGTTTATATATGTGTGATTATATAGCAAATGAATGCCAGTATGACATATCTGAAACCTGTAAGAACAATGCAGTTCTGTAGCCAAACAACAAAGATAACATCTATGTTTTACCCAATGACACCTTTTCCGCAGGCCATTGAAGTTCCTACATGAAAATAGATGTACTGAGGTGCACATCCCAGTTGCCAACCTGCGTGACGTGGGATGTTGCAACAACCCCTGCTTTTTTATTGTGTCTCTGGGTCACTTTGTTTTGATTCAAGACCCAGAAGCACTAATTAGCACAAAATTGGTCTTGGTGCCAGGAGTCTAAAATCACTGATGGTCATTCTTTTGCCCTGCAGACAAACGCGCCTGAATGAAGCAGCTGAGAACTATTACAGACTGGCGGCAAGCCTGAGACCCAATGTAAGCATCCCGATGTGTATCAGAACCCGAGAAGATGGGCGGCAGGTACCATCTGGGAGTCCTGTAGCGATTATGGGCCAGTCAAAAAGTCACGGAAAAGGCCACCATGCAGTGTTGAAATGTTCTGCCACATGAAAAGATTTCGGGTTAACAAAAAAAAAAAATGCAGTTTCGGCTTCTAAATATTGTGTCCTTTGTTCAGGGGGTGGTCTAAGGTCTTTGTGGGGCGGTTGATGTGGTTACTGTGCAGATGCAGTGTAGTGTCCCCCATGTGTACAATGTTCTTCCAGTACCCTGTGGCCCTGATGAACCTTGGCGCCATCCTTCACCTCAACGGGAAGCTGCAGGAGGCCGAGACCAATTACATGAGAGCCCTCGAGCTCAAACCCCACGATGCTATCACCAAGTCCAATCTGCACAAGCTCTGGAACGTCATGGCCAAGCAAGGCATGAGAACCACAGACTCAAGACAGACACAGAGGGAGGAATTCAGGGACAAGGTTCTTCATGAACACAAAACGTGAAGTCAGAGTGTCAACCTGAACACAGCCACTCCATACTATCAGAGGTGGACATTTCAGGTCCAGAAAGTACAAATACAAAGATTTTGTTCCAACCAACCACTGGTGTATGTTACAGTCACTGAGCACTCAACTGGTTGGTTGAAGCAAAAGCTTGGTCTTGATTTTTACTTTCTGGACCTGAAATGGTCACCTCTGCATACTATGCTGTATACTCTTAAGTAGAATATTTAGACAGAGGTAAAAAGGTAATCCCTTTCTCTAAATGACGATTAATTTAATTAGTCCTCTAATTTAAAGTGTGCTGTACTTAAAGCTACATTGAAGGCCTAAATCCTTCTGATAAACTTTAAGTAATGATTGATTGGCAGACATTAAATTAAGGTGAAAAATACGTCTAAAACATATCATTCTTAGTTTGTATTCATTACAGTTCATAGGTCCTTGTAAAAGTGCATCCTCAGCAGCCGATTGTAATGGTTACCACTCTGCCCCTTGGGCAACACGCAGTGTTTCCCAATCCAGTCCTCGGGGACCCACAGCCAGTCCATAGTTTTGCTTCTTTCCAGCTCCTGGTAAAACGTAGACTGTCTGGCAGGGAGCTGGGAGGGAGCAAAAACGCGGACCACTGTGGGTGCCTGAGGACCGGGTTGGGAAACACTGGGCTAATGGGCCCCGTGTGGACCTCGTTAATGAGATTAAGCTGCTGTGCTGGAGCTCGAACATGCAAACTACCATGACCACTAAGGATCAAGCAGTGTATCCCATATAAAACAGATCGGGGCCTCCACTCTCTGTCAGGGTCTGAGCTCTGCTGGTATTAATTCTTGAGTGTATGTTGAATTTTTCTGCCTGTGTGGGACACAGATGGGATGCTGTATTTCTCATGAGGACACAGCGGATGCGAAACAGTGGAGTGAATGCACTGATTACAATGGATCACAGTTCTAGCAGCCAAGATAGAAGAATTTTATACTATCAAGCCCAAAGGTACACAGTAAACGACCTGCAGAACGTAGCATAATCAGTCAAATTGGCTTCCATAGAAAAGGCATCAAGTCTGCTCACACATATGCCTTCTGTGTGTACATTTGGTCTTTCTACGTATTTGTATATTTTGATAGAAATGTATATTTGTTATGGGAGAAGAGTGCAAATGTTATCATCATAACAACAGGATAACAATGATTAATTAAGCAGGATATTCCTGAATTGATGTCTCCCTCTTTAAATGCAGTGTTAGAATGTTAAATTATTGAACATTATTGATTGTGTTTTCACAGAAAAATGTTTGTATCATTCATTATTCAGCAGAAAAATTTGAAATTAACCAATATGGTTTGTCCTCCATTTAGCGATGCATGAGCCCAAGTGAAGCAAAACTGCCACTGTCATAGTATAGATGAGAAGACGGTTTTTCATCCAACAGCAGAGTCAAAGAAAACAAAGGGAAAATCATAGTGCAGATTCTTCCTCAAGTGCCTCGACTCAGGGATTCCAATTCTCATTGAAGAAAAGTGCTAACAAGTACAAAGAATAATTAATTCTGTGTTTGTTTTTGAAAGTTGCATTTCTACAAATGATAGCGACCACGACTGTTCCTGTTTGTAAGATACGCTCTAGCATTTAGGTGCCTGACTAGATCTTGCTAGTTTTACCTTTTCACAATAAAAGTTTCATCAACCAACTTGTCTTTTATTTGATTCTGCGGAGCACATGTAAACATCTGCCATTCTTTATCATTTTGCAAAGGGTGTGCACACAAAGGGTGAAAACACAATTTTTGAATGAAAAACTGTAATGATGCAAGTTCCTCATATGTAATATTAATTGATCATGAGTTCTTTTCTTACCTAAAACTGTTTCCATGGAAACATTTCCTGAAATCAAAGGATGCTGGACTTTATCTCTGAATTATTTAGGACACTTTGAAGGATTCCTTGACATGGACATGATTTTGATATTACTAAATAACACACTGCCTATCTCAGGCAGCACAGAGCACAAGGAAGGGGTTAACCCTGGATAAGAGGTGAGTAATTTAAACAAAGGGTAAGTACAAAAACAGGACCACAATCCTACTGGCTAGTAAAAACATTGCATGTTGGACAACATTTTTAACTGAACTAGCCCAACTGGCTAGTAGCAAAAGTTAGTCTTTAGCCGATGCATTTTGAAAATTTCATTTAATGTGCTTCTCATGTTTACTGCACCAGTACTGAATATTTCCCCTGAGTGGAATATAATTTTTAATGCTAATCGCAACATTCCCCAAGATGAGATTTCAGAATCTGCAGAAAGAAATTAATTAGAGAGCACAGGTCCATGGTCACCGATGTAGGTCAGAGAGTGAGCAACGACAAAAACCTAAAAAGAAAAGAAATAATATAATTGTCACTGCATCACGCCACATCACACATGGTGCAGTGGTTACAACCGGGGATGTATTGCTATTTGAAATTCTGCATGTTGGCTGTTGTCATGATTATGAAAAAAATATGTAACCAGACTGGCTTTAGTAAATATCCAGCAATTTAAACAAGTAACCTGTAAATCACCTTGAAAAAGATTTGACACACCTACTCTTAGAATAGTTTATTTGTAGTATTCTCTACATTTTAGAATAATTATTAAACAGCATATATGGAATTATGCATTAACCAAAGAAGTATTAATCAAAAAAATAATAATAATCTGTTGGGGAAGGGGGCAGCCCTGTGGTTTGGGATTCTGAAGGCTGTGGGTTCAAATCCGATGGTTGGCAGAGGGATCCCACCATTGGGGCCTTGAGCAATGTGAAGTGTGCAGCATTTAAAATACAATATCAATCTAGAGGGCTGCCGATTGAGTGGAGCAAGGGTCGGGGGGGATGCTTATTGTAGCATTTGATGGCCGATGAATGTGCTTCTATGTTTGACCAGGGTGTGATGCAGGGGGTGTAAGGCATTGTCCATTATGGAGGAAATCATATTAGATAATCTCTTGGAGATAAAAACATAACATCATAAAACATGCAATCTGCAGACAATATTAGTGCAGTTAATGAGACCACCTCATGAAAATGGCTTAGAGAATAATGTAGGGTCAACCAGTTCCAGGAGTAATTGGGGTTAAGGCCTTGCTCAAGGGCCGGATGGTGAAATCACTTTGCTGACCATGGGATTTGACCTGGCAACATTCTGAGTCCCAACCCACAGAGCTGCCCCCCATTGTAGATGTAACAAAAGCTTGTTAAAAGGTTAGTGTTAATTATAATTGTTAATTGTGGCAAATAGGAATGGGACTAATGAGATGTTGTTGTCCTTCAGAATAGGGGTCTGCTCAGCCTTGCAGTCTATCAACACAACACCAGAGGTTATTACCAGAACAGGCCTGGTGTCCTCAGCTTGTAGGCCAATCTGATATTCCACTTGCTTTTTTGCTTGTTAATTTTGCTTTTTTCTTACGTTAAATCAATTACCTTGATCGTCTGATTGGGGAAATTATGAGGTCAACTCTTCTCCTGTTGGAGGTCACATTGGCTCAGGAAATGCAGCTAAAATGTAACCGTTTTTATGGATTATATTTTGTGAGTTTCCAGGGACTTCACCTTGTAGCGTTCCTATGGGAAATCCAGGGCCGTCTTCCCATCCGGATGGAAAATAAGCAGGCAGTCACCATGGACACCCACGGTGGACCCATGCTTACCTTAAGGAGGTGGAGGCCAGTGCTGTAGTGAGGCGACCAAGCCCCTACGATTGGATGCTGCCCGCATATCAATGGGGCATGCAGTCCCCCGGGGCAGCACCGCCTGGCAGAGTGAAGCAGTCGGGCTGAACACATTAGCATATATTTCACTATGAGCTACACATTACATGGCTTCGCTATCTAGCTGTGCTCTCGTGCCAGATTGTACAGCAGTATTAGAAAAAGGAACCTCTGTGAAGAAGATGGCAAAGCTGTTGTCCTCATTTTGTCGGGTGACTTCTAATCCAAAAACTGCACGTCCTACTCAAGGTATGAAAGCGTTGGAGCCCAAATGCTTATAAATAGTAAACATGTCGGTTATATAGGTGTCATGGGTGATTTTTGGCCCATTTTGCTATCTCACAGCTCTAAGATATAAATCTCATGGGTTGTCAGGAACATTTTCTACATTTCTTATAAATGTATATATTTTTTTATTATAAATAATGCCAGTAGAGGGCACAGTGGAGCAGTTCCACCTAGCTCCCCAAACCGGTCTAACCAGTCTCTGGCAGCCCACCTGCAACCCATTACCACCCCAGTTTCTTTGCAGAACCGAGAGGGTTCCTCGAGAAATGTTCTGGAGTTAGTCCAGGGGTTCTCAAAGTGTGGGTCAAAGAAGCCCGATACCGATGGGGGGGTCAGGGAATGAATTTCACAATGTGGAAAAATATTCCATTTTAACAATAATTGCGATTGGCTGATTGTGATAAATCTACCTGCAAAACTAAGTTTGGGTCAGAAAGCAAAGGCAGCAGCTACGATAAATCAGGACCTAAGATCATACCTTTCTTCCTTAATTTAAGTATGCAATCTGCAAAATCATATTTGATAAAAGAGACAAAGGTAAGCATGCTTAGTATTCTCCATCACACATCAACAATAACTCATACTATGTGAGAGGAAGCCCAGGGTTTTAAAGGCAGAGAACAGGTGTTGGTATTCAGCATGCTCATGATGGGGGTGTGACAAAACCCCCCCCCCCCCAACGGCCACCTCTTGGAGGCTGAGGAAGGTGCCTGGGCCAGCCCCAGGGCCGAATGGCCAGTTGTCGGGGTGGTCGCAGTGGAATTGGGCTGCCAGTGAGGGGGTCGAGGATAACCCCCACAGGTACTCCCCACAGCCTTCCTAATCCACCAAGTACTGCAGGTTACCCTGCTGCTGCCAGTAATCCAGGAGTGGCAGAGACATAAAGTCCATGCAGGAAAGAATCCGGGACAATAGAGAGGAGAATCAATGAAAGGGCCTGGAGATAATGCTAGTCAGCATACTATTCTTAGGGAATGTTGGGAGGTGACTGCCCTAAAAGAACAGACACCTCCAATAACCCCCCCCCCATTATTTTTGTGTTTTTCCTGTATCTTTGCTAATAAATTTGTCCTTTTTTGTCAGTGATAACACTGTGCACTTAGTCTATCTGCCACAGTATATGTATCGCTGCACTTTTTGAACCCCGCTGCTGTAACAAAATGAGTTTCCCACTTGGACATATAAAGTACATGATTTAAACACTGCCTACATTTTTTGCTTTGTATGTCTGATTTGAAGTTTCTTACTCTGTCTTCCACAGTCATGCTTTGGTTTGGAAGGCAGATATTACATTAAAGGGAGATACATTATCAAAGAGCTTTGGCGCCATCTTGGCCTGCTTACCTGTTACTGTAAGCATTAAGGTTTGAAGACTTTTTCCAAAGGCAATGTGCAACAGCACAGTACACTTTACAGTTTAAGTTGTACATTACTAACAAAATGTACTTTTTTCTCTAATTACTTTTTTCAGATTGTATTAAAAAGTCCATTTAAGGAGTTCTTTAGCCACCAGATCTCCATCCTCTGGTAATTCTGATGTATACACTATTTTTATTGTTTGTTTTTGCTATTTGACCCTATCTGGATTAATCCCATCATATGCTTTTCACTGCCCCCCAGCACGGCAGATATATATATATATGCTGTGTGCTGTCAGCCAGATACCTCTGTGGGTTGCAACCTTAATCAAATGACATAACACACTTGGAAGAATGTGCATTTCTTTCTAAAATCAACTTACAACACTAAGGGTGCTGTGAATGCTTTGGATTATATGTAGGGGCCGCAGTAGAGTAACGGGAGAAAGCCAGCTGCCTCATCAACCCAGAGCAACACAAGCTGCTCTCTAATCCTCCTCACCAGACACCTTGCATGGCACAGAAGAAACACAATACAGATCTGTGCTGTAGTTACACCACTTAATTGGACACATTTTCCACTGATTTATTTTATTCATCAGTCTAGTTGATGTTGTACTCTGTATTTCTTTCCGTGTAAACGTACACATGGGATCAATAAATGAATTTATAATGGCATAAAAAGCAATACCAAAAGTGTCACATACTAATTTTATAATTATCGCCATGAAATTCTTACATCCTCTCTAACATCATCCAGCTTGTGTACCAGGTAAAAACTGCATTCCTTTATTTTGCTAATCCTGTTCTCATAAATAAAGTATTGCATGTGTTTTGTGCTGCTGTTAGATTTCAAAATATTACCAAGTTATTAGCTTATACTGAACACTGGTTAATAAATATGGCAGATTTCATTTGGCATTTGGGATGAGAATCTGTTACGGTAGTAATGTAGTTTTTAATGGCCATGGATGGTATTCAGAGAGTATTTGATGTTTGCTGCTCATACTCGTTGCTTAAACTATGTGCTCATCTACCTGACACAGCTTTACATTTTTTCACTCCACTGAAGCAGATAAAAAACATGAAATCGCAACTAAAAACATGCCATTACTTATCCTGTAATTGCCTTAATCCATAACATTAATGCAATTAAAAATAATGAAAACTCAAACAATAAAATTGTAATAAAAAGAAAATTTATTGTGCAAGTTTATTTACAGAAAGTTTTTCCTTTCTTCCAGATGTCGGCAGGTGTTGTGAATGTTTGATGAATGGTGATTTCAAGAATCTTTTCCTGGTTTACAATGCTGTTAATGGTCTTGGACCTACCTATTTATCAGATTTGCTTTTATCCTATGAGCCCCCTAGAAGTCTCGGGTCTTCAGGTAGCAGTCTTTTAATTATCCCTGAAGTCCAAACAAAAGCCCACGGTGAAGCATCCTTTTGCTACTGTGGCCCAGGTCTGTGGACCAGCCACCCTGAGGACCTGAGGGCATCAGAGAATGGTCACGTTTTTAAAAGCAGAATCAAGACATTCCATTTTAATCCGGCTTTTATTTGAGTTCTATTCGTTTACCCAAACTTTATTTATCTGACTGCTTATCTATATATGTGAATGTATTTATTACTTATTTGTGTACTTATGTATTTGTCCATCTTATTACTTGGTATATCCTCTTTCATTTTACTTTATACTTTCAATCATCTTTCTTTTATTATCTTTAATTTATTTTCCTCCCAGAACATCTCATCTCTGTTTATCTCCATTTTATTATTCTATCCCTAATGTTCTGTCTCTATTTTATCCTCCTTTTACATCCCATTTATACTTTTATTTTGTAGTTGCTTGTACTTTATATTATCTTTATATTTACTTATACACCATAACTTTATCTTTTCCTTTTTATTAACTCACCATTCAAAATTTTACTCGTTATATTTAAACCTGCCTCTAGCGTTTCCTCATGCAAATTTCTGAGATTCATGTTAATGTTTCCTCACTTCCTGTTTTTATTGTTGTGTCTATTCTTTTCTTATTTACTTATCTATTTATTTGTTAATTTACTTATTTATTTATAATTGTCTTTCATTTATTTTGTACCTTTATTTTACATAGTTTGGGTGAGGGTGGCAGTAGGGGTGGGTTGATGTTGTTTTTTATTATGTAAAGCACTTTGTGTTGCATTGTGTTTGTGGGAAAAGTGCTATATAAATAAAGTCTGACTGATTGATTGTATGAGATCCTGAGAATGGGCTGCTGCTCCAAAGTGTGGTAGGTGGATTTTCCCAGGAACTGCAGGCTGGAGATATCTGAGGAGCTCTCCTGGAGTGAAGATAGAAAGAGAAGAAGGGAACAAGCAGAAGGTGTGGGGAGAAAAAGACTGCAGAACCAGTTAAAGCTGTACAGCTGAATTGTACAAAATACTGAATTCATTCTTAGCCTTTTCAATACTCCCTGTTGCTACTTCTTCCAAAAAGAAAAGGGACAGCAGAAAAAGGCACATTTCATCTTCTTCTTTTTCTTCTTCTTCTTCTGGCTCTTCTCAGTACCATCTCCTGACTGATCTTCAGCATTCACGTTGAATGATAGTTCTTCTCCGGTGGTCTTCTCGACAGCATCTTCTTTTATTTCATCTACCATCATCCCTTTGGTGTCTTCCTCTTCCTCAGCTCCTTCTTCTGGGATGGTCTCTAGCCATGATCTCTCTCCATGTGCCACCATAACTTGCAGTCTGACCACATCAGCATCTTCGGCCTCCTGAAAGGCCACATCATTTTCTTCGTCTTCCTCAGCCTCTTCTCCCTGGGAAGTCTCTAGCCACGTCCTGGCTATATATGCCGCCATGTATTGCCATCTCTCTGCTGTGGCAACATCAGCATCTTGAGCCTCCTGAAATGCCAGATCTGTATCTTCCTCTTCCTCGGGTCCTTCTTCTTCGATGATTTCCAGCAATATTCTGCCTCCTTGTGACACTATACATCCTAAAACATTCCCTGTCCTATTCTCTCCTTCTCCCTTAACCTCCTCCACATTCACTCCCACCTCACATCCATTCTCCTCACCTCCATTTAGTACAGTCATTACACTCATATCAGCCTCTGTCCACCCCATCTCAACATCAGAGGCCTTCCCTTCAAATTTCCCCCTCTCTGCTACCTCCACCTTTTCCCCATTAATCCCTTCCAATCCCTCCTTATCCCCCCCAACCTGGACAGTGGAGGGTGTCGCTGGTGAGCATTCCTCTTCCTTATCTCCCCAGTCGATCACCTCGTCCCACAGGTTCCAGGCTTCCCAGTGTTGGGTGTTGGTCCAGGCAACAGATCTCTCAGTTTGCTTTCTGGGGAATAAATGAGAGACAATGAGCACTTAACAGTGAAAGTTGGATGAATAAAGGCTTGACAGATATTCAAAATTACAGAAAATACAACTGCTATAATTACAATAAATAATTCTAGGGTGGTTTACACTAAAAAAAAAAAATGTGCAGTCAAGATTGGAGAAAAAATTAAAATACACCATATGCACAAAAAACAGTGAATGACACCAAATTATAAATAACATAGGATAGGAATCAACAGCGCTCCACAACAAGCCAATACACAGATGAATAATACCAAGAACTGCGTTAACACTGATGAAACTACGAATATTTTAAAGCTTTTATTCCGTGCAATATTTTATTTTTGAAAAAATGTAATGCTAAACTAGAAGCATCTAGCTTACTCCGCAAGCAATGTCCCAAATTGTTTTAACACTTTAACATCCAGTACAGTGGGGGTTCCCATTTCCCAGCCTCCGGTCAGTGTACCGGTATCGTCCGCGCTCAATATACCACCGGGCGGCGGGGGGTAGAGGTGCCAATTACCGTCCCGTTTGTTACGGGATCGCGCCGCATTGTTTCCGTTCACATTGCCAATCTCCCACCGCTCGGTAGATTTTATCGTGGGAACCCCGGGGATGATGTATAAAGTTTCTTTTCAGAGTTAAGAAAGTTTAATATATACAAAATTTATAGACTATTGAAATATGTATTTTGTTAAGGAAAATGGGGCTGATAGGCTATATTCACAAGTCTGTAAGCCTGGTAATAATGGTTCTTTAACATTTTACTAAGTATTTTAAATATTTGAAATACATAAAATACAATCTCTCGAGGTATTTTGTTACAAATTACATCAGATTTTTTTCTTCAGCATGGAGATGTCTTGCTTTAAACGATTTTTGCGATTCCCTTCACATTAAAGCAAGGTTACTTGTTTTTGGTAAAAGCAAGAAATACAAGCTTTGCACATTGTACTCGGGTCTTACTCCCTGCACGTATTGAAGGCATGGAGGGACAGTCACTGCAGTCACCTGTT